TAGTAGTAGTAGTAGTAGTAGTAGTAGTAGTAGTAGTAGTAGTAGTAGTAGCAGCAGTAGCAGCAGCAGCAGCAGCAGCAGCTAGCATTTCTATAGTTCTTATTATGTGGCAAGCACAGTATTAGGCACTTTACAAAAATCCTCACAATAACCCTGGGGAGTAGGGGATATTATCATCTTCATTTTGCAGCTGAGGAAACTGAGGCAAACAGGGGTTAAATAACTTCCCCAAGATTACACAGCTAGTTATAACATAGCAATAATTCCACCTCTGCCATATGAAGTCCACAGAGAAGATAGATCAGAGGAAGTTTAAGAGCTGAAGTCCACCTGGCTCCTTGAGGACTTCTACCAGAGGAAGGCCTTGCTTTGAAGAAATCCTGTAAAAACCCAACTCACAAAACAGATAAGATCTGGGGATGAAGGGATAAGGGGAAGAAATATACTTTTTAGATCAAAGAAGAAATATTCAATTTACAAAAGAAAGGACTCCTTAAAATAACATCTTCTCTATTGGAAGTAGTAAGGAGCCCCTGGAATTTATTAAAGGGGAAGAGGTGACATGCTTTTGAGGAAAATCACTTAAGTGGGTTAGTGGAAGATGGAGTTGAACCCATGACTCAGGTGCTCAGGATTACGCTTGGCTTAAGGCTGTAAATATTTGATAAGTATTTGATGAATCGAACTCTGGGATTTTCGTTTTGAATGCAATTAGCTATCCCAGGGGACAGAACCTGTAACCACTAATTATTGGTATCTTATTTTAGGCAAGTCCTCATAAACAGGAAGTTTCACATGGGGAAAGACCTTGTCTTTTCTAATTTTTGTATCATTTTTACACCTTTCCAAGTCCTTATTACAGGGGATCTCCACATAGAAGGTGCCTTAGTTAAGTGACGGATTGTCAAAGTCATAACCTCTCTAAGGGCCTCAATGCCCTCTTCTGTGAAATGAGTAAGTTGGGCTGGGTACCTCTGAGCAGCTCTAACATTGTGGGACTTTAGGATTCTACACGTTCAAGTTTAAACACAGAGCCAGGAAGTCTTCACGGCTGCCTCTGGGTCCTTTTGGCTGGCTGGAGCTATGATAATGACTAACCAAAGAATAGGAATTGTGCTGAATAGCCCAGAATCATACAGGCTCCAGGCTATCTTTTTTTTTTTTTTTTAAAGCTATATGGGAACTAGATGATACCTACAGTGCCAGATATTGTTTTGGAAACACAGCAGAGTTACCGAACCCCACCTTTTACCCCAAGCCTCAGTGAATGCAAAATAATTTGCTGTTAAAATACCTAGTCAATTTGACTTTTTAAAATAATGCTCCCTACATCTAGTAACATCCAACTCTCTTCTTAAAGAAAGTCTTCACACACAGACATGAAACTTCTTAGTATTCTATATGCCTTTATTCTCTTTAATTTCTTGATTCAGATTAATATCCTCCAACATAATTTTCACCTTCTTCCTCTATATCAACCTTTACTTTAAAGCAGGGGTTTACTGTGTATTCGAGTACGTGCGCGTGCGTGTACCAGCATACAGTCTGGTGAAATCGATGGACCCCTTCTCAAAATAATCTTTTCAAATGTATTGAGAGAAATTATTATTTCTCTCTTGTATTTAATAACTAATTATTAAATTCAGACCAAGGGTTTTCCCCTTTTCTACTCCCTCATTCACAAATCAGGGCTGATACTGAGACGGAGAAGTCAGATCTGTTCAAAAGGTAAAATTAGGTGAATTGATGGATTCTGGCCTATTGTGCCTTACTCAGACAGGTCTGGGAAAATGTGGATTCTCCTTTTGTCAGACAGGCAATATGGATACAGATAATTCTCTCTGACCAAAACTGAGTGATCAGTCACGTTCCCCAACCCCTCATTAGAATAAGCCCACTCTCATTATAATATTTATTCTTCTCATTACTTGTTAACCAATTGAAGTCGATTTCCACCCTCAGGTATACACCCTTTTCCTCTCTGGTCATGGAGAGGGCAAATGAACCCTTTTTGTTAACATACTTGTTAGCAATGGTTGATAAAACTGATTATAATTTACTCAGAAAACTCTATCTCTTAAAAATTTTTACTCTAGACAGTATAAAATAAAATATATAAGATTGCAAAGGAAATCAATTATATTGAAATATAGTTAAAAAACTACTTTAAAAAAAGTATTTGGTTGGTTTTTTTTTCTTTTTTCTTTTTGGTTTGTGTTCTCTTTTGCAGCATGGCTAATATGGAAATTTTTGCATGACTGCACATGTACATTTTATATCAAAGTGCCTGCCTTCTGAATTTGGAACTCAAAACTTTAAGTAAATAAATAAAAATGTTTTTGTTGTTTGTTTGTTTTTTTGTAAAAAGTCTATTACATGCCACCAGACACTAAAAATACATTCTCTGTCTTCTAGGAAATTACTCTCTTATCAGTCAGTCAATAAGCATTTATTAAGTTTCTGCTATGTGCCAGGCACTGTGATAGGCTATCAGGGTAAATAACATGTACACATATAATGCAAGTAATGGGGAATAGCGTGGGGGGGAGGGGTGACACCAGCTGGGGAAAATCAGGTAAAGGTATAGAGGAAGTGCCTTCCAGCACAGGCCAGTTGGCTGGACCAGAGAGTGCATGAAGGGGGTCATATGTAATGAGTATGAAAAGTAAGCTGCAGCCAGATCGGGAAGGGCATTAAATTCTAGAAAAAGAAGTCTGTATTTTATCCTGAAGGCAACAAGGACCCACTGCAGTTTATTGAACGTGATCAGGCTTTAGGACTATAGCTCTGGCAGCTATGCAGAGGACGACATGGAAAAGAGAGGTTAAAGGCAGGGGGACCAACTGGGGTACATCAGTGGTGCCAAACTCAAATAGAAACTGAGGCCAGGCCACATAATTGTAGAAAACCATATGTTTATATATTTCTCTTTTTATTAATTTATTTATATTGCTAAACACTTCCCAATTGCATTTTAATATGATTCAGGCAGCACCGGGAGGGAGTGTTGCTGTGTTTCACACCTTTGGGATAGCTACTGCAATGAAGCAAGTAGGAGCTGATAAGGGCCCCTAATTAGGGTGGTGGCTGTATTAGTAGGGAGAAAGGATGGATATGAAAGATATTGTGGGCGGAGTAGAATTTAGCTCTCTTTAACTTCCCCAACTCTCCTTAATTCCAGTGCCTTCTCTCTGTTAATTACTTCCTATTTGTCCTATATTTAGCTCACTTTGTATATATTTATTTGCATGTTGTCTTCATTAGACTATAAGCTCTATGAGGGCAGGGACTGTCTTTTGCCTCTTTTTGTATCCTCAGTACTTAGCAAAGGGCCCGAAACACAGCACACACTTAATAAATGTTTACTGATTGATTTATAGAACTGATAAGACTTGACAATTAATTGGATATATGGGGAGTAGGGAGAGAGGAATCAAAGATGACTTCAGAAGCTGCCAACTTATACAAACAAAAGGTTTTCAAAAGAAATGAGGAAGGTTGGAAGAGCTGGGATTTGCAGGAGGGGAGAAGAACATAAATTCTGTTGTAAACATATGAAGCTTGATATGTGTGTGAGCATTCAGCTTGGAGCACAATAAAGAATCTAATAATTCTTGCTATCTTATGGAGTCACCAACTTCTAAATTATTTTTCTATTATATTAATAACCAATTATTTAAAAAAGTTTTTTCTTTTTATTTCCTTATTCAAGGACCAGCCCCTCTGAAGAATAAGGCTGACAAACGAGATTGCCCAGATCCTTGGGGAACATGCTCCTTGATCTTGGGCAGGACCCCACCTAACTAGGAGAGCGTACTTCTGTTTAGAGTGTACATAGAATCTAATCTAGGTGAATTCCAATCCCAAAGCATCAAGTCTATGCCCTTGTATAGTCCTCTACCACTGGAATTTAGGGTGACCCAGCTCATGAAGAAGAAAACCAACCTGAGTGGTTTGGGTGGAGATGGATTCTCTGTCCAGACTGCTGAAGGCAGCTGAATCCCATGATCAAGCCATGCTCTCAGTAAGAGATGCTGAAGACTGTTAGCCCATCTCCTCATTTAAAAATCCACCCCCTCATTAACTGTTCACCAATCAGGGTTGATTCCTGTTGGGGCACTCCCTATCAAAAAAATATTTAAGGCATCCAGTATCTCCATTAGGTGTCTTTGGTTACTGAGAGAAATCAGTGACCATCAATTTATTGCTCATCACCTGATGATTGCAATCAACTGATGATTACTCAGAAATTCTGTCCTCAGGCTTCTCATTCATGTCACTATTTAGTCTGTTCTCATTTAGTCTGTAACTTGCATGATATTTAACTACTTTCTCCTCTAAGACACTTATTTTCCTTCTAACTCTTTCCTCCAGAGCTTTTCTTTCAGTTGTTTTTAACTCTTTTGATTCATTTTTTCAACATAAGCAGCTAGGTGACACAATGGTTAGCGTACTGGACTTGGAATCAGGAAGACTCATCTTCATGAATTCAAATCCAGCCTCAGATTCTTACTAGCAGTGTGACCCTAGGCAAGTCACTTAACTCTATTTGCCTCAATTTTCTCATCTGTGAAATGGGCCAGAGAAGAAAATAGTAAACCATCTTATTATCGTTGCCAAGAAAACCCCAAAAGGGGTCTTGAAGACTGAAATAGAACAACAACTAAATGGAGAAATAGTAATTGCTCATGGGTAGGCCAAGCCAAACTAATAAAAATGATACTACTACTAAAATTATTTATTCAGTGATATAGCAAATTACCAAAGGGTTACTTTATAGAACTAGAAAAATAGTGAAATAATGTGGAGGCACAGAAGGTCAGGAATCTTATGAGAAATTGTTTAAAAAGTAGAAGGGAGCAGGGCTAATAATACTAGAACTCAAAGTATACTACAAAACAGTAATTTCTAAAA